TGTATGTAGTCTGCCAGAACCAGCCATTTCCTCCTGCAGAAGGAAGGAACAATCTCTCCAGTCCGCTTCTCAAGTCACTTGTCAAGAACTACGACTTTAATCTCGTAATTATTACTTTATTCTCGTAACATTACGACTTTATTCTCGTAATTATGACTTTATTCTCGTAATGGTACGACTTTATTCTCGTAACTATGACTTTATTCTCGTATTATTACGACTTTATTCTCGAAATCTCTCTGTTTTTTTTCTTCTAAGTGGCCCTAATACTCCGTCGTACTTTTTGATTATTTAATGTACGAAAATCCCCTCCCCTTTCTTCCTTGTAGCTCGCTGGTTTCCCATGATTTGTGGGCCACACTCCAGCATAATAAGTGGCGGTAATGCACCTTAAACGCTAGGTGCCACCCGCCATTAAATAAAAAGAAGAAGAAGTTGCATTGTCGCACTCCAGCCAGCCGGGAGCAGTAGAGCACCACACATGTGTTCACAGACCGAGTAGCGCAGAGGGAAACAAGCGTGCGGAGCTGAGCTCATTCCTCCTTATCGTAGGCTTCAAGACACGCACTGTGTGTAAGGTGGAAGTAACTTTTATCCTCCAGAGAAGAGTTATAAACAACCCGGAATATATATCTGGTTAAAAGTCTCAAGGCAAACGATAACCATGTCGGCCTCAACGGCGAAAGTCAACAGAAAGGAGAATTCAAATCACGACGGAGCGGAAGAGACCTCTGGTAACGTTAAGGAATGGCGGTTATCCTGTTCAACGCCATTTTCATTTGTTTATCGTCATTTTGTTATTTTCTGTGTAATGTGTTATGTTGTTTCGAATAATGCTTGTTTACAGAGAAAGAACTTAACGTACCTTCTGTTCCATTTAACCTTACTCCTTGGGGGCTAAATAGTGGCGTGCAGTAATGTAGCATGATAGCACACGCTAACTATTTAGCCAGCATGAGAGGTTAGCTAGCCATTAGCTTACATGGGCTACTTGTTCACACGAAGATGGTCCGTATTTGCATAGCTTTAAGCGTAATGTGCAGTAATTGTTAATATAGCTAGACTGTGTGCAGGTCTGTTGTAAGGAGATGACGTAACTTATGTAATCGTGTGCATCTGCGCGGCTCCTCTTAACGTTAAAGTTGTGATGCACGAGTGTTTCCCCACACTATTAGCAACTTCAACAATCTCCATACCGTTCCGTTATCACGTTTCCACTGGTCAAGAAAGGCCGGACACGGCCAGCGTTATGAGCTGTTCAGTTAACAGACCATGCTTGTGAGTCTGGCTTTGTGTGCACGAGTAGCTGTGCAAAATGTAAACAAGTGCGACGTTTTCCTTCACAAAGCTCAAACCTCTTTCTCTGTGGTCGAGACCCATCCTAACACGTGGAGAACTGTAGTAAATAAGTCTAGTGGACACTGCAGAATGATAACATCGGAGACATGAAGATAGCATTTTGCATCGAGACGTCGCTAAGCCGCTCATTCAAACCGGGCCGCCTTTAGAAGCAACAGGAAGACACACACACACACACACACACACACACACACACACACACACACACACACACAACACGCCTGGCGTAAATCGGGCACATTGCGTTACTAAAATCAACGAAATATACTTCGAAATGATATTCAGATATATTCTACGTGACACCGGTGAAATAACAAGTTACGCTTATCGTTGAGAAAAATGAAACTATAATTTCCAACATTCATTAATCAGAATGTTGGAAATTATAGTTTCATTTTCATAATGGTTTTAGCAGGAATTGGATGTAGTTGTGACATTAAACATTTGAATCTTGTCGTCAGTTCTGTAAAATTAGGCTATTATAAAGTCGTGATTTTAATTAACCAGATTAAATAGCTAATGATTTGTGCTCTGTGGGAAAGATTGTGAAGTATCTAATCCTTTTTTATTGAACAGACTAGTTTTTTTATTTATCCCAAATAGGGACCATTTTTGTGTCCTTTTGTTTGCCAGAAAAGCGCATATCCAAAGTAGACCGAGATATTTGATGGTTGTAAAATCTGATATTGTTCTATTTTAACTAGGGCCGGGACTCGATTAAAAAAATTAATCTAATTAATTAGAGGCTTTGTAATTAATTAATCGAAATTAATCGCATTTTTAATCACATATAAATATTTGACCTAAGAACAGTGAGAAGCAATTTTTTGCACATGGATTTTAGTATACCATTAGGCGCATTCACACCGCAGTACTTTTCCCACAAAGGTTCATGAGAATTTAGTTCATGAGAACTCTTTGAACCTGGGGGAGGATTAGGCAAATGAAGCCGCTGACGTCACTTCTTCTTCTTCTGCTTTGGTTTTACTGGCAGGCCGCAAACCACTTCACGGCGTATACTGCCGCCCAAAGTCCCCGGCCGGAAGTCCCCGGAGTTGGGGACTGGCTTCAGTAGAAGCTGCTGGGAGTCCCAGCAGCCTTCCGAGTAAATCGCCAGAACGCCGACACCTCCTCATCTCCACCGCTCCCATGTTTTATTATGTGTTGCCAGAAGTTAGTCTCTCTGCGTTTCTGCGCTGGGCTAATGCTAATAATGCTAATGCGAGGATAATAAAATGGCGGCTTCACAAAACTTTTTGGGAGTTTTACGGGGCGTGGTTTGCAATCCGCCCAGCCAATCAGAAATATAGCTCTTTTCTCACAAGAGAGCCGTACGAAAGTCCCTGCTCTCTAGCAGCTCTCTGCTCTCTAGCAGGGACTTTCGTGGGGGTAAAAAGGTTCTCATGAACTCATTTTAGTACCGGCTCTTTTTGGTGTGAACGCGATAAAAGAGGCTAACGTCCACGCTAGCTTCCACGCTAGCTGCTATATGTTTTGCATTGAGGTGATACTTGAGGCTTGATGTGCTGCGGTGATATGCGAATTCCTTTTTGCATAATTTGCACACAACCGTGCTCTTATCGACGCTTCCATCCGTCCGTTTTTTAAAACAACATTTCCCACTGTGGTTTGTTGTTGTCTGAAGTCATGAACGTTAGTTGGTGCTCCAGTATAATCGGTACGCCTGAAACTCATCCAGTGAGAAACGTTCCGCGGTGCAAAAATAAGTGCGATTAAAATGCGTTAATTTTTTTAACGCGTTAATTTTTGTGTAATTAATTAATCTTAATTAACGCGTTACAGTCCCGGCCCTAATTTTAACCTGTTCAACTTAACCTACGTTTGTGACCAAGATATTTGCTGAGCAGGATATATTAAAATGTAAAATATTACTTGTATACAATGTTATACCACAATGCGCTTGTTAATGATTTACTTAACCAAGGTGCACATTCATAATAACATTCTAAATGTATATATAGCTTTTCACAGTGCTCAGATGCTTGAAATGAACCTTTTCGTCAAAGTGGCCCTATCAAAGTCAAGTTCTAATTTTACCAGCCTTTTATTACCATTGGTTTTTCTTTTTGCAGTTTCCATCTGCATATTTGGCGGGTAAATTGTGCTAATTTTAGAAGACATTCCTCACACTTGAAGTTTCAAATAGTTTTTCTTTTCTTTTCAGAAAAAGAGCAACAGGAAGCAATTGAACACATTGACGAAGTACAGAATGAAATTGACAGGTGAGTTATACTTGAGTTTATTTAGAGTAAAGAAATATTGTTGCATGGAGAAGGATTTCTCACCGTTTTCTGTCTTTTTCTCCTCAGACTGAATGAACAGGCAAGCGAAGACATTTTAAAAGTCGAGCAGAAGTACAACAAATTACGCCAGCCGTTCTTTCAGAAGCGATCAGAACTCATAGCCAAAATCCCC